GATTACATCTGATTGGTTAACACAAACCACGTGACAAAATATGCAAATTATTTCCTGTACCAGCCTGAATATAGACAACCCCGTCTCGCTCTCTTACTTGGCAGATATTGATGTGAGCAGATGTTAGTTATCCGGCGTCTCCAAATAAAGCCGTTCATTCCCAAATTCCGGTGTTTATCGATTTACTGTGAGTGCTCCTATAAAGGCATAATAGTCAGCCTTCACAGTGGCGCCCAACGTGGGGCAGTTTTAATTTCCAAACAAATGAATTTAGCCTGAATCCAAATCGGAGGAGCACTCGATATCACACATGTGATTTCTTGGAGGCCGCCATGTTCCATGCTATTCTTTGTCATGATCGACGTAATTTCTGTGCCATTGTGAGGCAAGTAAATGATGTCAATGCCTAATAAAGATTTCTATTACTATAGATAACATTGGGTTTTTCCATTTTATTCTACTCAGTTTCATGATCAAAGGCTGCAATAACCGGTTAATACATGTTTTGTGACTTGGTGGCATGTTGTAATTTGCGTGTGTGACGTCACTCGCTGAGCCCAGCAGTGCGCAAGTAATATCGCAGGGATGCAGCTAAGACTAGGTGTACGAGAAATCACAAGCGTTCCTCGCTGCTGATATGTCAGTAGCAAGTATTGTACATACGTATATATATATATATATTGAGCAGTCTCTAGTACCTGTGTGCACTGCTAGCATTTCGCAGATTGGTTCGGAGCTATTTGATATCTGTAGCTAGTCTGCTTATGGTAAGATGGCCTGAGGCACGTTATACGTGTGTTATCGAGAGACAGAACGTGATATTATTATTATTATTATTAGATAACAGTTTTCATGTGTGTGCGTGAGGAAGTTTAAGTATGTGATTCCAAAATTATCTAACCTGCCAATCAAACAAAATAAAAAATTATTATAGTAATTGTGTTACGTAACACCCTAAATAAAGATGGCCACTGCACACCCAAAACTGAAGAAATTTTCGGGCGAGTCCAGCCAGGATTTTGACCTTGTGATTCAAGCGATTTGAACTATTTGTGCCGATAGCACCACCTGATGCTGCCCCTGCAGTTCCCTGACGCCATCCTGTCCTTCCCCTATATTTAGCGGGTAGGGCTTTTATGACCTACGACAGTCTGCCAGCGGAGGCTAAGCTGAGTTATGAAGAGACACGCCAGGCACTGAAGGAGAGGCTGGACCCGGACAAATATGCCTCGATCAGGCGTCAGGAATTCATGACTCTCGGTCGTGAGACGGATGAGGCAATCACCGCCTTTGAGTTACGGGTTCTCCGTAAGGTGGCGACAGCATTCCAGGATTTTCCAGAACAACATCGAAACACGATGGCAAAGGAGCAGTTCATGAGGGGGGTAGGAGATGCACAGCTTCAGCCGCATCTCCTGACCCAAAACCCTGACACGATACGCCAGGCAGTGCAATTAGCGGGACAGTATGTACAGGTGAGGAAAGCTATGACCCTTCAACCTGTCGCACAGGAACCAGCCATCTGCCAGGTCTCGCGGGATGAAGGGTTTGCCTCTCCTGCCGCGGCAACGCATGAAATCACCAGTCTGAAGGATGACGTCCAGAAGCTGTGTGAACAAGTACAGCTCCTGATGAGGAACCAAAAACTCTGGCCGTGGACGTACCCGAGGACGCGGCGGTCGAAGAAATCGCCATGGACCGAGCCAAGGTCGTGGTCAAAGGCAAGGTCAGAGATATGGAGATGGTTCGAATGATCAACGAGTGCAACCAGGCAAGTCTGGGCAAGTTTCGCAACCATGGGTTTTCCCTCTTGCCAATCAACAGCAAGCTCCATCCAATGACCGATTCGACGGACATTG